GCTTCTCGTGGTGACCCTCGCACCCCCATCTTTGAGGGGTGCTCTCCTTCCCCCTTGCTGCCCTCTGTTGCCTCTGCTGCTGCTGCCGACCTGCTTGGTCTTGAGTCGGTCGGCGCGGCGTCTGCCCCTAGTGGGAGACGTCGCTCCAGCAAGGGCAAGGGGGGCAAGGGCGCGGGTGGAGCTGGAGGGGGCGGTGGCGGTGGCGGCGGTGGCGGCGGAGGGAGTGGGGGTGGCGGCGGGACTAGTGGCGGAGGTGGTGGTGGTGGTGGCAGCAGTGGCGGAGACGGTGGTGGTGGTGCCAGCGGTGGTGGTGGAGGCAGCGGCGGTGGTGGAGGCGGCGGAGGTGGAGGCGGTGGAGGCGGCAGCGGAGGAGGAGGTGGTGGTGGTGGAGGTGGAGCTGGTCGAGGTGGTACCCAGCAGCGTAGCGGCGGTGGTGGTGGCCAGCGCTCGCAGCGGCAGCAGCAGCAGCGCTCGCGGGACATCCCTCCGCCTCAGCAGCTTCGTGAGTGGTATGCTGGGCGTCAGAGGGGTGGGGGTACTGGTCCCTGCACCTACGTTCTTCGTTCCGGCGACCGCGCGGGTGAGCAGTGTGGGGGTGCCCACGCCACCCAGCGCTGCTTTGGCCGCCTGACGGACGCTTAGCGTCAGCAGTTCCCTGGGGCTAGTGAGATCCCTCGCTGGGATGAGCTTCTCAGGGCTGGTGTAGCGATCTTCGATCTTGATTTTGATGCTATCCTTGCTGCTATGTATGTTGTGGATTATAGTGAGGAGAATGAGGGTTACCGTTGTTTCCAGCCCGACCCGGGCATTGGTACTGCTGCGCTAGGTGCTTGTGAGGCTGCTGCTCTAGGTGCCAGTGCGTCTGTGCTCTCAGGTACTGGTGAGACTGCGCTCTCAGGTACTGCGTCGTCCTCGTCCTCCCTCACTTTCACACTTGACTCCGGAGCTTCTCGCTCCTTCTTTCGAGACCGCACTACCCTTACGCCGCTCGGCCGGCCGGTTACGGTCTCCCTTGCTGACCCCTCTGGGGGTCCTGTCCTGTCTCACTTCTCCACTGTCCTCCCGTGTCCGGCTGCCCCTTCGGGCACCCTGTCGGGTCTGTACCTTCCCTTGTTCTCTACGAACTTGGTGAGTGGAGCGGACCTGCAGGATGTGGGGGTTCACCAGTTCACTCCTGCGAGTCAGCGGGTGACCCACTGCACGGAGGCACGCACAGGCCGACACCTGGCCACGTTCTCGCGTCGGCCGGGGTCGAGTCTCTACACCCTGACCGTTGAGTCTCCTCCTGTCTCTGCGTCTGGTCAGGTGGCTGCGTCGGGTCAGGTGCTTGCTGCTGCGTCCCGGTCAGGTCCTGAGTCTGCCCCATGTTCTTGTCGCCTCCTGACTCACGAGACTCTCCTGTGGCACCACCGTCTTGGCCACCCCTCCTTGCCCCGTCTTCGGAGCATGGCTTCCCGTGTCCTTGTCTCTGGTCTTCCCCAGTCTCTCCCTCCTCTCCCCTCCGGGCCAGGACCTTCCTGTGTCCCCTGTGTCGAGGGTCGCCTCCGGGCTACTCCTCACTCCTCCCACTTCCCCCCGACAGAGGCTCCCCTGCAGACGCTTCACATGGATGTGTGGGGCCCAGCCCCCGTCCGTGGGCAGGGTTACGAGCGCTACTTCCTGTTGGTGGTTGACGACTACTCGCGTTACACCACAGTCCTCCCCTTGCGCAGCAAGGGTGCGGTCACTGAGGTACTGATCGACTGGATCCGCGAGGCTCGTCTCCAGCTCAGGAAGAGCTTCGGCTCGGACTTTCCTGTTCTGCGTCTGCACTCTGACAGAGGCGGAGAGTTCTCTTCTCGCCTTCTGCGGGACTACTGTCGTGCACGGGGGATCCGCCAGACCTTCACGCTTCCGGACTCACCACAGCAAAATGGGATTGCTGAGCGCCGCATTGGAATGGTCATGGATGTCGCTCGTACGTCCATGATGCATGCGGCTGCCCCCCATTTTCTGTGGCCGTTTGCGGTGAGGTACGCGGCGCATCAGCTCAACCTTCACCCCCGGGTCTCTCGGCCTGCGATGTCCCCAGCCTTGCTGTGGACGGGGAAGGTTGGCGATGCGTCTGTGTTCCGTGTCTGGGGATCTCGGGCGTTTGTCCGCGACTTGTCTGCGGACAAGCTGTCCCCTCGTGCTGCTCCCTGTGTCTTCCTTGGCTTCCCCACTGACGCCCCAGGGTGGCAGTTTTACCACCCCTCCTCTCGTCGTGTTCTGTCCTCCCAGGACGTCACGTTCGACGAGTCAGTCCCCTTCTACCGTCTCTTCCCCTACCGCACTCCTTCCATCCCCCCTCCCCCGGACTTCCTTGTGCCGGTTCCCCCCCCGGTAGACCCCCTCCCCCCTCAGGTTCCTGCCCCCTCAGGTGTGTCCCAGGTAGACGCCGTTGACCCGGTCGAGGTTACTGGTGACTCTGGTGCTGCTGCGGGTGCTGAGCCTGGGGGTGCTGACTCTGGGGGTGCTGTGCGCGGGGGTGCTGAGCCTGGGGGTGCTACTGCTGGGGGTGCTGGGCCTGAGGGTGCTACTGCGGAGGGTGCGGAGCCTGGGGGTGCTGAGCCGGGGGGTGCTGTGCCTGGAGGTGCTGGGTCTGGGGGTGCTGGGTCGGGAGCTGCTGAGCCTGGGGGTGGTGAGCTGGGAGCTGCAAAGCCTGGGGGTGCTGCGTCTGGAGCTGCTGAGCCTGGGGTTTCTTCTGCTGCTGCGTCTCGCTGGGAGCCCCTCTCTCCACAGGAGCTGCGCGAGTGGTTCGCTCGCCGCTGGAGGCGTGCTGCTGAGTCTGGAGGTGCTGCTGGAGCTGGAGCTGGAGCTTCTTCGACCGTCGAGGGTGCGGGTGCTGCCGGTCCCGGAGCTGCTGGACCTGCGGATCCTCCTGGAGCTGGAGCTGCTGGAGGCGCTGGTGCTGAGCCTACTGCTGTTGGTCCTGCCGCTGGAGGTGTGGGTGGCGCTGGTGCTGTCGCTGAGGGTGCTGGTGCTGTCCCTGCTGCGTCTGGAGCTGCCGCGCGGCCTCGGCCGTACTTCGTTCCCCTCCTGCAGCAGGTTCTTGGTCTTTCTCCTCCAGTAGAGGGTCCACCGCCTGTCCAGTCGCAGTCCCTGCTGGAGCCTTCCTCTCCACTGCCTGCTCCCTCTCCTTACACTGGTCCTACTGGAGGTCTTGCTGAGCGTCGTGAGCCTGCGTCTCGTCCCGCGTCGCCTGTTCGCACTGCTCGCGCTAGTGGTCGCAGTTGGCGTCAGCGTCCTCCTCCTGTCCCTGGCACGCACCGGATGTCTTTGCGTCCGTCCACTGCTCCTCTGCGTGCCCCTTTGCCTTCTCCTCCTGAGTCCTCTCTTCCTGCGCTTGCCGACCCTGGGTCGGACTCTCTTCGTGCTGCCAGTCCTACTGTCACGCGTCTGCTTGCTACTGTCGTCACTGACCCCTCTTTTGAGTCCACTGCTGCGTCTGCTCTAGTCGCTGAGCTCGTCGACTTTGCTGCTCGCTGTCGTCTCGGCTACGCTGCTAGTCTTGTTGCTGAGTCTGCGTCTGTCTGTCCTCCGTCCGTCGGGGGTGAGTGTGCTCTTGGCACGGACGTCCTAGAGGACAGGCAGGAGGAGTTACAGTGTCTAGCGGCTGCTTCACCTCATCTCGCGTCTGTACTGCTTGCCCCTGAGGGAGACCCGGATGCACTAGACATCCCGACTCCGCGTTCTTACGCGGAGGCCGTAGAGGGTCCCTACTCCTCTCAGTGGCAGGCAGCTATGGATGCAGAGATGGCTTCCTGGAAGTCCACAGGCACCTACGTTGACGCGGTTCCCCCTCCTGGGGCGAACATCGTCAGTGGCATGTGGATCTTCAGGGTGAAGCGGCCGCCGGGCTCTCCACCTGTCTTCAAGGCACGGTACGTTGCTCGTGGCTTCAGTCAGCGGCAGGGAGTTGACTACTTTCAGACCTTCTCTCCCACCCCGAAGATGACTACTCTTCGGGTGCTGCTGCACATAGCCGCTCAGCGCGACTACGAGCTTCACTCTCTCGACTTCAGCACTGCGTTCTTGCAGGGTAGCCTGCACGAGGAGATCTGGCTTCGCCGTCCACCTGGCTTCACTGGGACTTTCCCTCCTGGCACCCAGTGGAGCCTCCGACGGCCAGTCTACGGTCTCCGCCAGGCACCGCGTGAGTGGCACGACACACTGAGGACTACGCTTGCGGCTCTTGGGTTTGCTCCTTCTACTGCTGACCCGTCGCTGTTTCTTCGCACCGACACTTCCCTGCCGCCGTTCTACATCCTCGTGTACGTCGACGACTTGGTCTTTGCCACAGCTGACACTGCTAGACTCGCCTACGTGAAGTCCGAGCTGCTGAAGAGACACACGTGCACAGACCTGGGTGAACTGCGCAGCTACCTTGGCTTGCAGATCACTCGGGACAGAGCACGCCGCACCATTACCTTGACTCAGTCACACATGGTGCAGCAGGTCCTTCAGCGCTTCGGCTTCGGCTTCAGAGCTACACTGTGAGGTATCCGAGCGATGCTAGGGGGGGTTACAGGCACGTTTGCCTAGGGGGTTATGGGTGCACTGCACCACACTGAAACAAGCTCTTTTATCCTAATGGTCTAGTGGTTAGGAATTCTGACAACATTGTCATATTTCATTCATTCCTGCCTAGATTTCTGACACAAGTAACATAATTTTGCTAGATTAACCTGTAATTTTTGCTTTGCCTGCAAGTGCACCAATCAAGCATTAACAAAAAACCAAACGGCGGTGTATCCACAACTTGCCTATACTCAACATATGTAGCAGCGTGACAAAAACTAAACACCACCTTGATACATTAATCAATGTTCCCAGCAGGTGTGTCACTTCACTGTTTAGTGTAATGCGACGTCTCCTACTGCTTCACTAATCTAGCTTACCAAGCCAAATCCACCGAACTTCCCTCCGATCTGTTCACTTGAAAACCCCAAGTTATACCTCCACTCCCATCCGTAGTTTCACTTCTTGACGAAGCCCAGGTTGTTGGCCTCAGCGTACCGCTCCATGAAGCGCATGAAGCGGTCCCATTCCCTCTCTGTGCGCATGATGTATTTCGCCTCGATGCCAGCTGGCTTGCCATTGATAAACTTGGCACTCACGTCCACCGTCTGCCATGACAGTGGGGGAAAGAGGGGTGGGGGAAGAGCAGTGGAGTTGATTTCAGCAGTGCGTATTGCCGCCAGCTCGCACGCTTCTAGCTGGACTCAGGAAGGACACAAGGGGAGGATGCACAGAAATGTGTGGGGTGGCTGGCAGGTGCTCCATGAGGCGGCAAGCGGATTTCAAGGGTTTGTTGCAACGAAGCAGCAGAGGAGTAGTTAATGTGTGGTGGGATGACGAATGTGCAAAATCAGACAGGGAGACCAGTACTCGCTGGGCGTCTCAGGTGACTGATTCAATTGCTAAGAGTACGAGCAAGACGAACGCTAAGAGAGCGGTATTCACCTGCAAGTCGCCCTCATCGTCGATGATGAAGAGCCCCGTGATGCCACCCAGGTCGCTGGGCATCTCAAGGGACTAAACAAGGGCGTATGATACAACCGTAAGCACGGAGGATGAGAGAAAGAGTTTGTACCTGCAGGTCGCCCTCCTCGTCGATCATGAAGAGCCCCGTGATGTCGCCCAGGTCGCTGGGCTGGTCGAACACTGACGGCTGCTCGAACACAAACGTCGCCGTGCCGCTGGTGCCGTCCCTGCAAGGGAAGGGAGCGGACGGAGCGGCCACGAGGGAGACACGGAGGGGAAAATATCAGTGTGATGCCAGAAGACCGCAGAGCAGGCCGAATACGAAGCTATGAAGCAGGACGCCAGTAACAAGACAGAGATGTGGTGGGGGGCGGCGAAACAGGAGTGAACGGGAAACGCTGAGGTTGGCTGGGCGAACAAGAACGAGAAGGTGCTACTAAGGGAGAAAAAGAAGGCGAAGCGACTGATGTCGGTTCGACACAACTTGAGGTGAAGTAGGCTACTGATTCATCGTGCCGTGCGGGTCGCAATGCGTACCGAGAAATGAGAAGTTGCTATTCAGCGCAACCGCGGGGCGTAGACGCTACATAACACTGAACATCACTGACTCGTGACCTGATTAACGCCTAGCACCCGATTCCGTGTGACACACGTCGACATTGAGCTTCATCACATCGTTAACGCACCTAGATCGCGTGAGTCGGACTTCGGGAATGGTTTGCTCGTTGACGCCGCGGATGAACTGCACGACGGCCTCGTCCACCACCACGAGCCTGAATGACACACAAAAGAGATTAAAGGAGAGGAGGGAAGAGAGAGATCGGAGAGGAAGGGGGTTGAGGAATGTGCGCGCGTGTGCGTGCCTCAACAATGGTTTGCTCGTTGACGCCGCAGATGAACTGCACGACGGGTTCGTCCAACACGAGCCTGAGGGTCGCATTACGGTGGTGAGAAAACCAGGGGTGCGGGGAGAAGATTGGTCAGGTTACAAAACAAACCAAGTTTGCTCGTGGTAGCCGTGCATGAACTGCACGACTGCCGCATCCGCGGAAACAAGAATGAGAATCTATAAAAAATAATGAAACTTAGAGTTGCATGGCCATTAATATTGGACGAGCGCAGTTGAAGGGGGAGACACAAAGAAGACGGGGGAGAGAAAGAGAGGAAAGAGAGAGGGCGGAGTGAAGGATGGAGAATGGGACAAGGGACACGAATGGGGTCAGGTAAAGAGAATGAAAGGAAGACGGGAGGGAAGGCGGGGGAGGGGATGAGAAGGTTGCGAGTATGGAGGGTGAGATAGGTGAAGGGACGGAGGATTGGATAAGCAAGGGGAAACTGGAGAAAAGAAGGTCAACTATACGATGATGAGAAAATCACTTTGAGAAGAATGGGAAATGACATCTCATATAAACCGTCATACCTCTCGGAGGATCGCTTGCTGACAGCGCGAACTGGAAGAGCCACAAGAGCATCGCCCTTGAACGACGATTGCAGGCTCAAGCGTGATCGGAGGGATGCGGATGCCTCGACGCCTGAGCATCTGCACGACACCAGTTGGCTGGTTTGTCGCTTCTGCTGGGCAGAGACCGCCTTAGCGCCAGCTCCAGCGGGCGCTGACAGGACAGAGCGTGAAATGCAAGTGGTCGCCATTGTATTCTCTCGCTACAATTGTGTCTGCAAAGCGAAATGATCAAGGGAAAGGCTAAGCAGGAACAAGAGGAACTTGTGAGAAAATGGTTGATCTTGAAACAAGAACTGTTGGACCAGTTGTATTGTATATCCGTTTGTGGGGAGGGATTTGTCAGGAGGGTTGGCTTTGCAAGATTTTGAAATGCCAAGACAAGGATCCGTTCTAGTCGCCAAACCCTTGGAATTGCCACCGTGCGACTGTGCGATGTGCGAGTGGGTGGAATTGCCAGGGTCGCAATCTTGGTACTGGAACGTCGCACAAGCAGCTCAGTTGTCTGATGCATGGGCTGACGATACGACCTTGATGAGCTGGCCAACGGTTCTTGGTGACTGTGACTGAACCACGTCAGAAGGCATGTGCGCTCCGTGGGATGGGGGCAGATCAAGAGAGTGACGCGTGGACAGGCGCGTGGCCCCATTCAGTTGTTTCCTCGGTGCGTGTGCGAGGCTCCACCACAGTTCGGCAAAAGGATCACCGAGATAATCCTAATGGGTCGACATGGTGGTTCTCCAATCTCCGAGATGTGCCACCACAGCACCGCGCCTTGCCAACAAGGCAGAACGGTTCGTGGAGGGTCGATGCCCACGAAGTTTCTCCAATCAGCTTGTCGCGTGGCTTGCGTTAGAAAGTTCGCTTGCTTAGGTGCAGGTATTCAACACCCGAAGTGAAGTACGAGCTGATCAATATAGATACGAATTGTTACAACCACCACATGGAATTATTAGTACCAGTTGCAGGAAAATAATTTAGCCTATGGTATGTCCCTGGTTGGGATTTTTGTGCTGGAATAAATCTCAAGAAACTTTTGGAGACTCAATGTTGAAGGGTTTCTTCCAACAGACTTTCTCAATGACAAAATACAAACATCACAACGAACAAGCGCTTGTTACTGTTTTGCTGTGAACGAGGCACCACAGCCACACGATGAAGCAGAGTTGGGATTGCTGATCACCTGCAAACCAGGATAGGAGGACATAACAGCGTTACATACCACATGCATGGAATGCAATCTGGTGGAAAGCACGTACTCCCAATGTACTCACCTGAAAGGAAGAACGAATGAGTTCGTCAGTATAGTCCACAGTGGCGCCGTCCACAAAAAGCAGAGATACGTTGTCTACCACCAGCCTTACTCCGTCACGCTCGAAAATGCTGCACAGGAAATTGATGAGGGCAACTCAGCACAGGGGATTAGCAACAACTAGTCCGCCTCATCGAAGGGAAGAAAGAGATCATGGGGGTATTCTAAAGATGGGCTAACACTACACGCCCAGATTCCCCAGAAAAGGCCATTGCTTGAGAGGAACTTACCTATCCTCAGCAGTGACCTTGTCATCCAGAGTGAAGATGTACTGGAACCCAGAACAGCCACCTCCTTCCACGGTCAGTCTTAAACACACGTCACGCCCTTCCTCTTTAATAATCTCAGCCAGTCTCTGCTCAGAAAGCAAACAGACAAAAGGTCCATCCAACACTCATCGCTTGGACTTCTCTTCGCCTGAGCTTAAACACAAAAAGCGACCTGAACTACTCAAAGACGTTGGTACTCATATGGTCACAAGACGAGCAGAGCATGAAAATACTCACTTCCGCGCATCTGTCGCTGAGGATCACCGTTTCCTGTGGCTTTTGCGTCTGTCGCACCACCTCACTGCTCATACGCCTCATCCCGCTAACTACCATCATCGTGCCCGTTTCCTGGCGGACGCTCTGTACATTACAGGGTGGCGGGTGGTTCTGGCGTCCCAACAACGAAAAGGAAGGTACGTGATAACGTCGTTGCAAGCACCCCACCGCAATCGAGCTGAGAGCTGGCAATTCTGCAGATCGGACGAAAGGCGACCGCGTATAATGTTCCCTTAGGGGTGCTGCGGCTGCTGCGGATCCTGCTGCGAGTGATGCACGCGCGGATTCCGCTACAATTGGTGCTGCTGCAAGCGACGTGCTATCCAGCGCTGCGCCTGATGCAGCTGCGAGCAATCTACGTGAGGCGGAAAGGACCCGCACGCTCCTCATTTCTAGCGCACTATGGATTGTACGGAAAGCAAAGAATTCGGAAAAAGACGCCACAGGAGCAAGAAGCGCACCCTCGGGCTCTTGCCGGGCTGCAGACAGAGACCACACCCCACGCGACGAACAGTTCGTGACGAGTTGCTTGCATACCTTCGATTCTTGAATGCCTGCACTGGGATGGAATGAAAGTGGGTTATGTTCGTGTATATACGAGTCTTCCTGCAAAAGTGGTGCCCAAAGTACTGTCTGCTCCGAGACAGGTCGATACCCGTTAAGAGAGTATATGAACTGGAGAACACTTATGGTATGCATACAGAATATATTAAATGGAACCATGTATTTACTGTCAATGACTGAAATATGTGACTAAATAAGGAGGTTGCACCCTTCCATAGTCACGAAACAGCTATGGCTATAGGTTGTTTGCTTCGGAAATTCATACCTCCGGTCATTGGTCAAATGCCTTGAGATGTGGTCTGGAAGCCCAACAATAGGCAGTTCGTTTTGACAGACCTGGTTCGGCACCCTACACGAACCTGAGCTGAACTTGACGCTTTGCGATGCGAACTTCAGCTGCAACTCCCTGCTGGAGTGCTCATCCAGTCCACAGCAGCCAATGAGCAGCCAGTCTCATCCACAACAAATTCCGTTGCCATGCCATTCCATTCCATACACATTTCATGTCTCCCATTTCAGCAGCAGCCATGGCCAAAACCGTCTCATGGTTCCTCCAGATTTCATAAATTAGTGGTCGTATTTGTTATCTAGATTTTTGCAATCCGCTGTTTCCCTGAACTTGGTAAAGTCTGCTCTTTTTCTATGTAGGTTAGATCATATTTGCTGCCTAGGATGTAGGGGTAGGTCTCGCTGCGTTCTTGCTGAGATCTGGCCGTTGCACACTTTAGCTTTCAACTATGAGTTCTGCGGGAGCGGATTCAGCTGTAGCGCCTGATGGAGCCGAGACTTCAAGGTAGGTCCCATGATCCGTTTGCTTGCTAGTCCTGCCTATGGCTTCATGGATCTCTGTAGTCTTAATCTCATCCCAATTTGGTTTCGAAACGACTTGATTTTGCTTTTCCTGCGACATGCATGAGCAGGGCTAGGAAGACGTACACAACCAGCCAGCTGCAGTCTCTCTCGGAGTTCCCAAGGTGCAAGGAACCGCCTTCAGGATTCGATCCGTCGCCATGGAGGTAAGCCGAGCGGAATCAGGGAGTGTTTCTGTTTTCTCTACTTCTTTCTTTAGTTCCTCCTAGCACCATTTTATGATGTACGATCCGGCAACCGTTGCAGATCCGGTATTTGTTTTCCACAGGATATCTGACAGCCCATTTTTTTCCGTTTCCAGGGTATTGATGCAGGGATTTGTTCCGGTCCCTCAAGGCGTTCATGGGCCACCTCGCCGCGACTGGAACAAGTACGCAGCCACGTCATTCTGTTGATCTTCCGTGAATTCTCTTCCTCATCTGCTTCGACCGAATGACTCGAACCTGCTTGTCATCTTCTGGTTCCGTCCAATCCCTCGTCGTTTGTTTCTGTTCCATCAACAAGTTCTGACTCTCTTCTCTTTCTCTCTCTCTCTCTCTCTCTCTCTCTCTCTCTCTCTCTCTCTCTCTCTCTCTCTCTCTCTCTCTCTCTCTCTCTCTCTCTCTCTCTTTCTCTCTAACCTTACGCTTGACTTATCAGCCAAGGCCGGTCACCACAGGCATACGAAGGGCCCGAATGGGGGAGAGACGGGCGGAGGTATCCCGGGGGAACCCCTCCGTACAACGGCCCGGGGCCAGGAGGCCGCGGCGGTGGCCGTCCGATCCTGGACAAAGCCGGAGGCAAATTTCCTGGCGATGGAGCTTTTCCCGCAGCCCCTGGCCAGCCTGGTCAGGTTCTGAGCCGGACCCAAGGACAGGGCCAGATGCAGAGTCAAGGAGGGGAAGGTGTGGATCAGCGTGCGGGTGGTCGCGTTGTGCCTGGCGGTCTTCGCCCTCAGGCAGCCGGAGCTTCAATTGCAGGTGGTGCTGGAGTTGGGGTTGGTGCGGGCCCGCCTGGGGAGAAGGAGCGTGCCGTCGTCACGAGGCTGCAGCCCGGCTGGAAGACAGGTGAGCTCGTCACGCCTTGTCGTCAAAAGTGAGACGTTTTTTCAGGCGCCTCAAAAGTGCGAAGCTTCTGTAGCGTGCCGTCAATCAGTGGCAGTCTTCCAGGAAGACTGGTGAGCTCGTGACGCCACTGATACCGTCTGGTTTCCTCTCACAGGCTACTCGTTTTGTTTCCATGCAATTCCACCATTCGCCACTCGTGAAAGTCGGATCGCCGTAGGACTTTATCTGGTTCGTCTCGTTCTCCCACCTTGACTCTCCAACGTTGACGAATTCGTCTTTCTCCCTTGATTGTGACACACTACTTCTGAGTATTGCCACGTGAACAGACAGATGCATACCTACCCTATCCTACCTTCATGCCTCCCTACTCCGTCCAGACACGAATTCCCGCTCGCATTTCTTCGAGCAGCGTCCCTTTCCCGACCGAGCTCTTTCCACGGGCAACAACAGCAGCAGCACCAGCAGCCAAGCAGGATGGAGCAAGGACTCTACCGGACCCTCCCCCTCCGCCTTTCCGTCGTCCTCCTCCGCCTCCTCGTCCACCGGTCCCCCTGCCAGCCGGGCTTCTGACGCGAGCAGCAGCTGGAGAGCAGGCGGCGCAGGGGGAGCAGGCGCAGGCGGAGGCGGAGGCAGAGGTGGAGGGGGGGGAGGAAGCGGAGGAGGGGGGAAAGCTGACGGCGCCGCTGCTGGTTCTGGCGGTGATTTCGGTCCTGGGACCAGACCGTACGGTGGTGCGTATGGTGCTGCGCATGCTGGTCCGCAGGGGGGATCGTACGGTAGACCATATGGCGCTGCCAGTAACGCGTATGGCCCGGATAAGCCCAGCAGTGACGGTGCTCCGCCAGGGTTTGAGGGGCCTGTCCCAGGGTATGGGCTTAGGAGCAGGTACCAGCCTGCGGGTATGCTTGGCAGGGGCGAGAGAGGAGGGGGAAGCGGGGGCGGCAGGGGGTGGGAACGAGGTGGAGGAGAGAGGGGAGGAGGGTATGGGCGGGGTTTGGGGGCGCGAGGATTTGGGGGTGGTATGGGGAGGGGAGGAGGTGGCGGTGATGGCGGATATGCTCCTGGTGCTGCCCCCAGACAGAGGCCACGAGGAGAGGATGACTCTGCACGCAAGGTGCGGTTTGCATGCAAGAGCTATGCAGAGCAGAGCACTTGTTTTGCTGATTGTTTTCACGCACGAAGCAACCAACCGCCTCGATTGTTCTGGTGATATGCGTGGTTGGTTGGTTGCTTCTCTCCATGCTTGCTTGCTTGCTTGTGTGCCTGCCTTCTTCCTTGCTTGCATGCTTGCTTGCATTCGTGCTTGCGTGCTTGTGTGTATGCATGCGTGCTTATGTGTATGTATGCATGTGTGCGTGCGTGCATGATTGAGTGAATGCAGCCGTACGTGCCGGGAGCGCCGCTGATGGTGGAGGACTCGTTCAACGACGAGACGTTTGGAGGGAGCAGCAGAGATGCCAGGCGGATGGAGGAAGAGAAGAGGCGTCGCGGTGAGCCCCATCGTTTCTCCAATCCCCTTCTCCCGTCCCAACGTCTCTCTTGACACTCTAATATTTTTTTTCCTGCGTTTTTGTCTCTCCACGCCTTTCCCTGTTGTGTTTCATTTTGTCTCTGATCACCCTCCCTCCCCTTCGTCCCTCTGTTCTCACCTTTCCTCTCGCTTGGCCTGCTTCCTTTCTTGCCAGTTCCCGTTCGTCACCCAATCTTCTGATGCGCCTGCCCTCTTTTACCCCATCCCTTCTTCATCCTTCTCTCCTCTCCTCCGTTTTCACCTCCCTCCTGCCTCCATCGCCCCGCCTTCCATCCAAGCAGAGGAGTTTGAGCAATTCCGCAGGGCGCAGCACCAGAAGCAGGCAGGCGGGCCACAACCACCGGGACCCCACGCCCTCTTTCCCCTCACCTCCACCACCACCACAGCCGCTACAGCTGCTACAGCCGCCACAGGCGCAGGAGCCCCTCACGCGGCCCCTCACAGGGCGCCGCTGTCTCAGGCAGAGCTGCAGCGCAGGAGGCACGACGAGGACTCTCTCTGGGACTCCCCTGCCCTCTCAGCGGAGCAGCAGGGGCGTTCCGCGTATCCAGACGACGCAGCAGCTGAGCAAGAGGACGAGTCAGAGCCCCTCGCATCGCCCCGTGCCACAGAGGATTCGGATCTGGATGTGAAGGATGTGCAGTCAGGGGGGGCATTGGCGGCAGGGCTGGCGCCGTCTGTGGCGGCGCTCATGGGCCTGGCGCCCGCAGCTCCGCCTGGCTTTCCCGCTGCTGCTGCGCTGGGGATGAATGCACCCGCTGCTGCTGCTGCTGCTGCTGCTGCTGCTGCTCCTGCTCCTGCTGGTGCGCCTGGGGTGGGTAGGTCTGCAGGTGGCGGAGGGGGCGAGGGAGAGAATCTGGTGGCGTGGCTGGGAGGGATCATGGCTGGAGCAGGCGCTGGTGCGGGTGCTGGTGCAGGCGCGGGTGTTGGTGACGGTGCTGGTGCTGGGGGAACGGTGGTGGCGCACTCTTTGAGTGGGCTTGCTCCTCCTGGGATCCCACCTGCCTCTGCGTCTCTCTCACTGGAAGACGTTGAGAGGGAGTTGCAGCAGTCAGCGCGTCGGGATGAACTCAAGGATCAATTCAAGGATCAATTCAAGGATCAATTCAAGGATCAATTCAAGGATCAATTCAAGGATCAATTCAAGGAAGACCGTGAGTGTGAGCCCAACACGCCCGCGGGCGTGCTTGTGTTGAGTGACGAGAGCGGTGGTGTTGGCATGGGGAAGGGAGGAGGAGGGGAGGCAGGGCAGCGTCTCTCTGTGAGCGATCTGTTTGCTGGGTCTGGGTCTGGGTTGCTGTTAGCAGGGGCTGAGATCGCAGCAGGAAGAGGAGGAGGAGGAGGAGGGGACACGGTGGGTGGGTGGCTGGCATTGTCTGGACGTGTAGCTCTTGCGTCAGACCTCGAGGCAGATGCTGGGGTAGGCACATCTGGGATGGATTCTGCTGCAGCTGTGAACGATCCCGTTAAAGTCGATGCCATAGATGCTTCTGCAGTGAGAGTGGTGGTAAAGGCCCCCATGTCTCCCTCCCCCGCCCACCCTCCCATTCCTGAAGGGTCTACCTCCCCCAGCTGGTCCCTGCCTCCAGAATCATCCCTCTTCGGTCCCTCCCCAGACAAGCAAACCAGATTATCCGCAGAAGTAGAAGCAGCAGCGTTTACAGATGCCACAGTTGCAGCTGTTGCCCCTGACTTGCTGCTTGATCCCTTGTCTTCTTCAGCTGCCGAAGCCACTTCTGCTCTTTCCAAGCTGCTTGCTGGCAGTGGCAGCGGCAGCACCACCAACAGCAGTAGTGGCCCAGGCACCGGCACGGGCATAGGCAGCGGCGGCGCTGCTTTTCAGCAGCGCGGAATCTGGGGAGGGATGGGCTTTGGCGCGCTTTTGGCTGGGGGTGCAGCCGGCACCTCAGCGTTCTCTTCCGGTCAGGCCAGTCAAACCGGTCTTGACTGGTCGTCTGGGCCTCTTGGCTCCGCAACAGCAACGTGGGGGACAGTAGGGTCCGGGAAAGGGTTTATGGAGGGTACGGCAGGGAGGGAGTGGGGCAGTGCGGAGGGTTCTGCAAGCAAGAGTGGGGGGAAAGAGAACGGGTTTGACTCGTCTTTGACGTCTGCTGCTGCCGCTGCTGCTGCTGCGGAGGCTGCTGCTGGTGCTGCTCTGCTGTGGGGCGAAGGGGCAGAGGTGAGGGGGACACCAGAGGCATTATTGGAGCTGATGCGAGGGGAGAAGAAGGGGCAGCAGCAGGCAGGCGGCGGTGGTGCTGTGATGGATGAGAGCTCTCAGGAGGGGTTGTCTGGGTTTGTCGGGAATGGTGTGGGAGTGGGAGGGGGAGGGAGGGAGGGCAAGGGCGGGAGTGGTGACTCATCGAGTGGAAATGGTGTGTCGCTTCTGACGCAGCTGTTCACGAATCCCAAGAGCTATGAATCAGTGCGTGGGTTGCTGAGTATGAGTCGAATCGTTGAGTCTTGTCGACCTTCTACTGACGGCCTCCAACCTCATGTTGTTGTCAAGCCAACAATGGAATCAAGAAGCTAACAGATAAGCCAACATATATCGGCCTGCTACTTTAATCGTTGGCTTCTCTGCACCCATCCCTGCTTCCTTGCTCTCCATTCACTGTTCTTCTTTTTTAACACTAGTGCTCTTTTTTGAAACGTCTCAAGTGGACCTGATTCTCTCCCATGCCCACTTGTGTGGTGCACTTGGTGCCATGTCTGTCCGTCTGTGGTGACTGGCAGAGCACATTGGGAGAGGGGGAGACGCTGGGAGCGAGGCTGGCAAGCATTCAGAGTACCCTGCACCATGCCACAGTTGCGCAACAGCCGGGTATGTCCCACTCGCTCCTGCCTCGAATCTTGAGTTGACAAAATCATTGTCTCATCAGACACTGGGGGCGAGGCTGGCAAGCATTCAGAGTGCCCTGCACCATGCTACAGTTGCACACAGCCGGGTATGCCTCACGCTTACTTGCTTTGTGAATCTTGGCTTTTGCCAGAGCCTTTTGCCAGACTTCTGCTTATGTCTGCAGTGTGATTTGCCCCTGCGTTCGTGCACCCTACCTGATTTCTCCAGCATTCACTCCTAGAAACTTGACAACCACCATGACCAACGCCACTGGGAGGAATGTGAGCTTGGAAACCACTGTCAAGGACACCTATGTTGATGTTACTTCTGAGAATTCTCAAAAGTAACATCAACATCGCTTGGAAGCCACCGTCAAGGACACCAAAGATGGCTTGGATCGGGTGGGCCGATGATTTCTTAGGCGAGCCACTTTCGTAGCCGACAAGTATTTTGATTTGAGTCGACTCGTTTTGAGTTTATTCAAGATCGTGAGCTTGGAAACCAACTCAAAACGAGCTTGGAAACCACTGCCATCAAGTACACCAAAGATGGGTTGGAACCCCATGCGTTTCTCTTTTGAATCCCACAACCCGCCCCCCCCCCCCTCCCCCCCTCTCTCCCTCCCGGCCCCCCTTAGCAGGCAGGCAGTCAGGCATCCCTCTCCTCAGCCCACGATGCAGCAGAAATTGAGTCACTTTTAATGGCTCTCTCCCAGCAAGCTGCTCATTTCTCTCTCTATCACCCCTTCCCTCCCTACCCAATTCTTCTTTCCCCACTGGCCCCTTTGCAGGCACTCAGGCATCCCTCCCCTCAGCACACGATGCAGCAGAAATCGAGTCACTCCTAGAGGCTCTCTCCCAGCAAGCTGCTCCGTCCGCTGCTGCAGCTGCAAGTGGCAGGGGAGCAATCTCTTCAGCTGCTGCAGCTGCTCCCACCTCTACCTCTGTGGTAACCAGCGTTAATACTAGTGACTGCAGCAACCGCGGTGGCAGCAGCGCTGGTGCAGGCTTTGGCAGTGGTTTTCAGAGCAGGAGCATACCCCTCTCTACCCTCTTTTCTCCCGATCAAGCCACACATTCAGCGTCCGTGCCTATGGCTTCTCAACCTACAAGCACAAGAGGCAGCAGCACCGGCATTGACAGCACCACCGGTGGCAGCAGGCGCGGAAGGGCAGCAGCAGGGGTTTGGAACCAGGCCGGGCCAATGCACTCGCAAGAAATCCCACACGTGTACTCAGTGTCTGCTCCTCCGGAGCTTGGACCACCCTCCCGCTCGGCTGTCCCTCTGGTGCCTGTGCCACCCTCGTCAGGTCTGCCTGTACCTCTGCCCATGCCTGTGGGTCCGAGTCTGGAAGACATTGAGAGAGGGGGAGGCGGGACTGGTGGCGGTGCTGCTGGAATCTCCCTGCCGTTTCCTTTCCCCTTGTCCTCCCAGGGTCCTCCAGACCAGCTCGTGGAAGCAGAGCAAGGGGCAGGAGGGGGCTTAGGAGGGAGGGCAGGGGTGGGAGGTGGGGGCGGGTCGCTGCCATTCCCTTTCCCCTTGTCCTCCCAGGGTCCTCCAGACCAGCTCGTGGAAGCAGAGCAAGGGGCAGGAGCGGGCTTAGGAGGGAGGGCAGGGGTGGGAGGCGGAGGGGCGCCGCTGCCAGCGATGCCGTCGGCAGTGCAGTGGCAGAGCCTGGAGGAAATAGAGGCGTCACTGCTGCAGTCAGCAGAAGGGCAGGAGCAGAGGCAAGGGCAAGGGCAGGGGCAGGGGCGGGATGAATACGTGGAAGCTTCGAGCTCAGAAAACCCTCATGCGCCTGGTTTGGGGCAGCTGTTGGTGCC